ATGAGGCCATGATGTGATTAGCAATCTCGAATGTCACACCGAGTCTTTTACTTTATGTTATATATGTCTGTTGATATGACTCGAGGGTAATGTGGCCCTTCGGCTTTCTAAACAAAATCTTCGTAAAATACTTACGAAATTAGTCTTTTTTAAAGTTGGATAAGTATTATAATTCAGTTTTAAACTTTTTTATTACATGATGTAAAAATAGTTAAATTATAGGTAAATACATTTCTACTGTATTTTTTACTTGGTAAAAATTTACAAAGTTAATTAATAAATAAAACAAAATAGTTAAATTATAACTAATACTTAAAATTACTACGTGCATGGCTGGACTTTACCAAACTCCCATCGCTATCGCCGGCCTAATTGTACTTGCGTGGTTGGATGTACGTGGACTGAGTTAATTACACGAGATGTGACATCCTCAAAACTCAGTCTCATTTACCATCAACAAAATCGTTAGGTGATAAAACACGGCACTTTGAATTCCACGTCAAACATTGTTACAAAGTCAGCGTTTCTTTTAGAACTGATCACTTCATATCCAATGATTTTCATCCACGGAACACGTTGCAGAAGAAGCCATTAAAGTAGATATTAACAGCACGAACCGAAGTTCGAAAGAAGAGTTTCGAGAACAAGAGGAAGTAGATTAAATTTTAGTAGCTTAATTCATCGTAATCTTGCTAAAAAGAAGAACCGTATCTACACAAGTTATAGTTATAACCCCTAAAAGCTTCAAAATGATAACCAAAGCAGGCGAAAAAGAAAAATCAACGGCTGTTTCAGTCATACCCAACTAAGCCAACCTCTCTCTTATACTCCTGGAATGAAGGAGAATTCCTTTATCCTTTCCCTTCAAACCAAGCAAGTTTGACCAAAACCCTTTCTTGTTCTGCGTCGTCGCCGTCGTCGTCTTCTTCTTCTTCTTCTTCCCATTTTCATCAACAACACTTCTTGGATTCATAAAAGCAATGGATCTGCTCTTCTTCAACCCATTTCCACCGCTCACCATCAAAGACGACATGAGGGTACCCACCGACGGGTTTCTGCTATGTCTTCCGCCCGATCCAGTAGAGGAAGAGGAATAGTAAGGCGAAGAAGAAAAAGAAGGAACGACAACAATGGAGGTGTCTCTGCGCGAACTCGCACACAGATGAGATAACCTCTCTCTCAGGCAAGATGGGCAAACCCCTTGATGCTGTTTGTGAGTTGGGTGCTTCTTGCATACCGATTCCGACTCAGTCCAACCCATGTTTTTTCCTTCTGAAACTTTGTTAAGGCCAATCAATCGACTCCTCTTCATCTGCTATTTCTTCATTTGGCTTTCCTTGTTTTCGTTTATATAGAAGAAGAACAAAGATTAGTGTTGGGTGAGACAAAAACGGTTCGTTTTCCACGAAGGTTCCTTGTTCGTGCGTGAAACTCTACAACGACGACCCACGTGCGGGATATTGTTTGTGACAGCCACTTAGAAAGAGTACATCCTGATTTGGTCAAACCCCCCCCCCCCCTTCTGGGACCCACGTGGAAGAGAGCAAAGTCTTGGAAGTCGATCGTGCTGTGTCGCAATTTGTCGACAGTGCCTGTGACGGAAGCTCGATCGGTGGTTAAATGGACGGAGACATTTACGAGCTAATCAATTAAAAAAATTCTACAGTTTCAAAAATATATAAATTAAATTATCGTATACATATACTCATTAATTGCTACATAAAAACAAATTTATTCACTAAATTATAATAAGTAATTATTATTCAGAATAATGTTATATAATGAATTTACATATTTGGGATAATAAATATATATTTACGTGTTAATCTTTCCAAAATATTTAAGATAGCTTCAAAAGTAATGTATAAATTATTTTTTAAATATCTTATTTATATAAAATATATAATTAATAAATAGAATTAACATTTCCGCAAATTGTTACGGGTACCAAGGGGGCAGAATTTTTCTCGTAATTTGTTGTCGCGCGTGAAACGAGACGAGTCTCGAGCCGCGTGGGAGAGAAAGGTGGCCGCACGAGGGTCATAATTTATAATGATTTTATCTTTAGTAAAATAATTTTTAACAGCGCGAGGTTAAATTAAATAATTAACCTGATGGTGATACTTCTAGTTTCCAATATCCACGTAGATCCCTACCCCCTAAGTCTATATAATTCTTTATTTTTAAAAAATAAAAATAAAAAATATTATGTTTAAAAATATAAAATTTATTTCAGTGAATTAAATATTCTATAATTATTAAATTTTTTAAAGTAATTATAAAATGTTTTTATTTATTAAAGTAACCTGCTCAAATGCCCACTTAATCTTTAATTAATTAATTAATTCAAGTTTTTATTGAGATAAAATTAATTAATTAAAAGTAAGATAAGATAGGCGTTAATGGAGTGCAAGGAGAAGTCTCTTTCAATACTTCATTATTAAAACAAATTACATTTAATAATCACAATTTCATACCCAACAGTGAGAATACACATTTGTACAAGTTATAATTCCTTGGGGTAAATTTTTTAATATTTTACAGTAATTCAGTAAATTTTTATAGTAATTAATAAAATTACTGAATTACTATAAAATATTAAAAGATTACTCATTAATTAATTAATTATGCATCAATAATTTCCTTAATGAATCTATCAAAATTGCCGTAACACAGTCCCCCAACGTCTGTTGCAGCTTCCGCTTTCTTCTTCCATTCCAAAGCTTTCATTCTCCTCTTCTTCCCTTTCTCTCCTCCGATCATTTCCTTCACAATACGCTCAATCTCTTGTCGTTTCACACCCCGTTCAGTCTCTACCCCAATCTCCCACTCACCGCACGCGTACCTACAGTTCGTCGGCTGCTCCGCCATGAACGGCCAGCAGATCATCGGCACACCACCGCACAGAGCCTCCACCATTGAATTCCATCCGCAGTGAGTCAAGAAAACGCCGACTGCAGGGTGCATCAACACCCGGTCTTGCAGACACCAGCTGATGATCAACCCTCTATCTTCAACCTCCGCCACGAAAGCTTCCGGCAATATTGCAGATTCGCCCATCACCACACCGGGCCTCAACACCCACAAAAATGAACACCTGCTATTCGCCAGTCCCCATGCGAACTCCATCACTTGGTCCTTCGTCACCATCCCTGTGGTACCGTAGTTTACGTATACGACTGAGTTGGGTTCCTGTTTGTCCAGCCATTGGAGATAGTCTGCGTCGTGTTAGGTGAGATTGGGCTTGTAGAGTTCTGACTGGGGTTCCGGCACGTGGCGGTGGAGGAGAGGGAGTGGGCCGACGGTGAAGATTTTGGAGAACTTGGTGGCGAGAACTTGAAGGACTTGGCTTTCGAGGTCGTCGAAGGTGTTGATGACGACGGTGGAGCAGTTTACGCAGTTGTCTATTTCTGAGCCAAGGCCATTAAAAACGACGTCGTCTGAGTCGGTAATTCTGACGTAGGTTGGCATATCCTTAAGCCGGATATTAGGCATTCCTGGTATCCAATCAACGGGTGCTTCAAGGGTTCCATCGATCATGAAGTTTGGATCTGATCAAACATATAATCAATCCCCAAAATTTACGTACCATCTATTATCATATTATATATGAGATATATGCATATATCATAAGGTTTATAATTTAATATACACATGATGTATAATTAATTTACTACACGAAACACGTTTTGTAACGAGAAAATTGAACAAAATTAAAACTCAATTAGGGTTGGATAGTCAACTCACTATAGTTAGCTCGGTTTTTGGACTTAAAATAATATATAAAATATATTACAATATACACATGGTGAATGTAATCCGAAAATTAATATCATAAAATAAAAATACAAATGAGATTAAGAATTTGATAAATATAATATCTTAAATTCAAGTGCCAATTTAAAGTAGGTTCTAATAATTTCTCTATTGGCAATAAACACTAATAAATCTACCATTATGGATTTTGAATTATGAATAAAGTTGGTTTAATTTGTATAAATTAAGTTATTTATTCAATAAAATATATTTTGTATATAGTAATTAAAATGATTAAGAAATTAAAAGTCTATGCTTGTTTACTACAAAATTGAACTTAAAGATTTCATGTTAATCAACAGAACAATTCTATGAATTGATCGATATCATATATATATTTATATATATGTGTGTGTGTGTGTATAGATTCTGAAAGAAGTAGAATATAATTTACAGTGACACATTTCTGTAAAAGGAAAAAATTCCAGGAAGAAGATGAATTACCTTGAATGGAACTATGCCTCTTCTCTGCAATTCCGTCGCCTGCAAACAAGCCATAAACCCGCAAGCCGACGCTATCCAAAACTGCACCTGCTTTATCCCCAGAACCCTAGCGGCCGTTATCGCAAACGTCATTATACAATCGGAAATTATGCAGCTCACCGGCGCCGCCTCATTCAGCTTCGACATCAGCTCCATGAACGGTCCCAAACAAGTCCGACCAAAAGGGTCTCGACTTTCAGGCGGCAAACCTTCGAGCAGTCTCTCGACCCGGAAACCTTTCAAGTCCTTCGCCGAGTCGAAAACGGCGTCGTTGATGGGCAAGCTGTTGTTGAGGTCGGCGAAGACGAGAGTCACGAGAAAGCCACGTGAATGGAGGAGCTTGCCGAGCTGCATGAAGGGGTTGACATGGCCTTGGGCTCTGTATGGAACCAGCACCGCATGCGGTGGTCTCTTCTTGTCACCATCTTCAGATTGATCCATCCAAAGGTTGACAAAATTCTTTTTTAACTTTCTTTTTCTTCGAAACTAGTTTCTATACTCTACATGCATATAATACATAATTATATACATATATATATATATATACATACATACATCTTGCAGAAGAGTGCGAGCTGTGTGGAGCTGATTATCTGTAAGCCACTGCTACATTCCCATTTCCCCCGGAGACGGCATTTAAACGGGGGACATGCCAAAATGTTTCCAATTGTTTAATTAATTTGTTAATTGGTTTTGAGTTCATAACCAGTGAAGTATTAATTAAAAAATTAGATTAGATTAGATAAAACAGAATATTAATATATAATTATACAAGCAAGCAAACAGTGACAATGAAGGAGTGTAATAGAGCTATCAATTATATACATACACATATACATATACATATATATATATATATGTAAACGTTGGATGAAATTCGAAAGCAAGAGGCTTACATGGGGTTTATGCTAAACATGTTTTTTCTGATCGTTCATGTTCCGCTAATGACAAGCAAATTAAACTTAATGCATTAATTAATTAATTAATTAATTAATTTAATAAGTGCACTCCCTTTCACGCACATGTTTTATAATTGATTAATTCAATCCAACGGTTCAGATTAGATTTCTCGTGGGTCCCACAAAAATATTCATTATCTGTAAACTCAGGGTCAACGTTGATGATTGTAGAATAATTATGAGTTTTTTTTTTTAGTAATTAATACTCTGCCATTCCAATCATTTCTTAATTAATTTATAAGAAAATGCCAAAGAGATCATCATCATCATCATGCGTAATTAACTCAGACATATTATATATATATACATACATATGTATGTATGTATGTATGTATGTATGTATGTATGTATGTACTCTCTATGCAACTTTGGGTTTAAGTTAAATATTAATATAAATTACTTTGATTAAAATCATGATTGTATTGTAATTTATTAAATATTTATTTTTAAAATTAGAATATTTATATAATTATTAATATTTTTCTTATAAATTACGTTCCTATTAATTAATTTTATAATTAGTTCCGTAAACTGTGTTTCCTGTTTAACAAGCAAAACCCAAATGGCTTCACGTAGGCACTAACTTAATAATTAATTTATTGCTTGTTTAAATTAATAAAACATAAATTAAAAAGTCAGTAATAATTATGTATTATTCAAATCATACGATTTAGCGTTAAATATATAATTAATTAATTAATTAATTAATTAATCCTGCCTTTTTTATCCGAAATTATTTGATTAACCCAAAAAATGAATTTAAAAATATTTATTTCAGATTTATTCTTTTTTTGTTATTATTATTTGTATTATCTAAATAAAATAAATAATTGTAATTAGGAAAAAAAAAACGAGGCTTAGAGGTCCAAATGGGCTGGGTGTAAACCCAACTAGCGAGTCCCGGCCCATCGGGTTCGAGCCCAGTTCCACCCATTAGTCATACAGTCAATTTTTGTTCTTCAACCCAAAGAAAAATTATGAAGTTGATATTTAAATTATTGGAAATTATTTTAAATTATATATATATATATATATTTTTATATATATGAAAGTTGATATGTGAATTTTTTATAAATTTTTTAAAAAAAAAATTAATGTCCCTAATTAAACAAGCCTAATATTTTCCATATGGGTTTTACTATATATGTCTATCTATATATGTGTGTGTGTGTGTGTGCGTGTGTATGTACTTATCTTATGTACAAAATGAAGCTAGCTTTCATGGATATGGGACCTATATAATATGTATATATATATATATGTGTGTGCATGTGTGCATGTGTGTGTGTGTGTGTGTGTGTTCACCAACTTGAGCAATGCCTCAGATGTATATTTATACAGGTGTAAAGGCATGCTTTGGCCTACCATGACCTCTTGGCAAAAGACCTTTCGCCTTTTGTTGAGTATTCCAAGTTCCTGCTTCATATATATATATATATGTGTGTGTGTGTGTGTGTATGTATTCTTTAAACTCGATAAAATATAATATAAGACGATGAAATATTTGATTAATTTAGTAATATTAGGATGTTCTAAAATTAGTTTTTGTATATTAAAATTATTCTTTAAATTTGGTAAAAAATATATTATTTATTTATTTAATTATTTTATGAGGTGTATGTATTGTTGGTATATATGTTGAAGTTAAAAATAATTTCCTTAGTATCGAGACAATGTGGGGTTTGGGTTTGCTTCTGGTTTGTCAAAATTCGACCTCATATATGCAAAACTTTATACATAATGTGGGTACATATATAAATACATAACTATATATACATATACATATATTTGTTTCAATATAATAAAATGACTTAATTGAGTTAAGGTGGATCGGCATTTTTATGAGAATATAGTATCCATCGATATACTTTTTTTGCATGATCTTAGATTTTAACTCAAATTTATAGATAATCTTTGTGAATAAACTTTTGAATTTTTAAGATATTGAATTCTCACAAATATTTACGTTATTTAAGTCGACATTCTCACTTCTATTTTGTTCGGATGGAGCACACCCGTGAAGCACTTCCTTCCCTTTAAACTAGTTTCACTTCTCGAATGATCTAATCATATTTTCTATTAATTCAATTTTAAGTTCGAAGTATATACAAGTTCGTATTTTATAAGTTGGGTCGAAACTCATTCTTTAACTCAATCTCTTAAATTAATAACCACCTTTCATTTAACTTAGTCTCATCGATTCTTCTGAACCAATAAGTATTAGTATAAAAACATTCACATATTATTCATCGATGTGTCTTTTAACATAATTTTAAACTTTAACTCAGGTTCATAAATAATTTTTGCGAATAAACTTTTGGGTTTTCAAGATATTAAGTTTTCACAAATATTTACAATTCTTAAGCCGACATTCTCACTTCTACTTTATTCATCCCGCTTGCGCAGGTGCTTTTCCCTAAGAGGGTTGAAGAAAAATTTAAAAGATACGATACAATTAAAAAGAAAATTTAACTCAATTTTAAGTTCGAAACTTGTACAAGTTCATATTTTTACAAAGTGGGTCGTATTCGAATGTGATGAGAAACTCGATCTTTAACCCACTCTCTTACAATCGAATATGATGAGAAACGTCACACTAGGCCAAACCCCAGTGTGACGTTTCATGGATCAATATTTGTTTCTTCAACTTCCATAATAAATACTTTGATCAAACTATACTAATAAGATCTAATAATTAAATTATATATATATATATACTGGGCGGATCATTTTAGAATATGCTTTGTAAGAAAGAAAGATTATTTTATAAATAAATATTGATTTCAAATAATATAAATTTTTTATAATTTTCATGAATTACATGCTCACGGATCTCCATTCATGTTCAAATTAATTGATATGGTAATTCTATATGCTTAAATAACTATAATTTATCGCCAATTAAAAAAATTTTAACTCAATAATTTAAAATAAATAAATTTCATATTGTATAATTTTATGAAATTTTAGTATATGTATATTAATATAATGTTATTATTATTTAATTAAAGAGTGAGACGACGGAATAGAGTGGGAGAGTGACGGCTAAAGGCTCGTCGGCTCAAGCCAAGCCGCTCAAATCCCGAGGACCGAGGAGCCAGCACGACTTGGTTGAACCCCATAAACCAAACATTTGACACGGAATTCTAGGGTTACCTCAGATGCTCTTGGGATCTGTACACCCAATTAAACAAAACTACCCAAAAACAAAAAGAGGGGGGGGAAATTTTCCGGTGCATCCCCCGACTACGTGGACCCTACCACCCCGATTGAGATAGCTCCATAATGACGTCATAAATATACTTTTATTATTAATTTAATTTATTTTATTATATATAATATATAATATTAAAGTGAAAAGTATGGAGAATTGGTGTAAGACTACAAGTTTGCTTGGAGTTGGATATTTTTAATCCAAAGGAGGAGAAGTGGCCAAAAGAGTCAAAATTTGCCGACGACGGGAGACAGTGATAGACTTAAGTGGGTCCCACCTTCCCTCCCGGAGCTAAGGATGCAGGGGCCGCGCGCCGTCTCCCCTTCCCCGGGTTTGCCATCCTCTCCCTCCTCTTTTTTTGAAAAAAAAAATAATAATAATAATTAAATTACAATATTACTAAAAATTAATTGTTTAATAATTGCATTATGTCATTGAAACTATCTTTTATATATATACATATACATAATATTACTTCAGGTAAATGTTAAAATTTAAATTTTTACTCTGAAGATACGACGTTGAAAATAATTTTTAACCGTGAAATAAAATAGAGTCGTGTGTATGTATGTATATGTATATGTATATATATATGTGTGTGTGTGTGTATATGGAACAGGAGTTTCCGGGTTTCAGCCAAGAAAGAAGAAAACTATTGGGGAGATTGAAAAGCCAGTGCACTGTTTGTCTTTCTTTTCCATTTTCTACTTCTTTAGGCTGATGTGACTTCGATACGTGGACTTGTGGGCCCCGCTTACCACCAACCATGTGACCGCCTGCTCCTCGTGTTTCTCTCTCCTCACCTGTTCTCACGCGCCTCTTCCAACACTCGCTTCTCAAAACCCCCCTCGCGTTCTCGTCAACTGCTGTTTTCGTATTTTTTTTTTTTTTTTGGCCTTCGGGTGAGAAGCACGCGGTGGTGGTGCAAATGCGGGGAGGGGAGAGAGGAGAGGGGGAGTGCTGGCAGGAGTTGTTTTCAAGGGACCCGTGGCTCTGGACAGCCCTAGGGTACTGGGACCGTGGGCCCCACTCGGGAGAGCCGTTCTTCTACGATGTGGGACCCAGCGGTGAAATAAAAAAATAAAAAGACTTTGTTATTCAATGTGCTCAGTCTTATTCAATGGGCCTCTCCGTGTCCGCGCTCCTCGCATTTCCATTACCACCCACCACCACTTCGCACACAATTTTTGTCACCCTCAACTTATTTATATATATTTATATATACACACACACATACATACACAAATTTATTTTTTTAAATATATATA